GAAAGGCGGAATCTCCAAGCCTTGTCACGGAGTCAGGGATCGTCAAGCTTGTCAAGGAGGTGCAAAAACGGAAGGAGTAACGGCCAATCTGTGTCACGGAATTTGGGATGCTGACCCGCAGCAAAGACTTGCATCTGGCAAAAGCATAGCCCTGAATGACTTGGACCGTGCCCGGGATGCAAACATCGAGCAACGGGTCTGTGTAGGCTTCTGTTTTGAAGGCAATTTCCTCTGGTGGGTTGATCGTGAAAAAGACCTCCGCCAGCAGTTGAGATGATTGAGAAAGAACAGTGCGCAAGTAAAGAACAACAATATGCAAACATCACCATCACCATCCATCGCCTTTCACAGAGGTCTGTCATCTCAGAACAAGATAGATAGAGTGCCCAGATTCTTCTGGGCAGCAGAAATGTGTGACAGATTTGTTGGAACAAGTTTCAGGTCCCTAACACCAAAATGTGACTAGTCAAGATCCTAGTAAATGACCCCAAAGACCCCCACCTGCACGACTGAAGTTGGGCCAAAGCCGGCTTCCACGAGGGTCGTCTCTTCATCGATCTCCAAGTTCCTGGGTCCCCACCAATCCGTCGTGACCGCCCCGTCCGAGACGTGACCGAAGCGCAGCGAAACGTGACACCGAGTCATTCGAGACCTCCCGAGTCATTCGAGCTTCGTTCCATCAAGGACCACTTTCACATTGCTCAATCTCAGGGTGATCTCATCTTCGGAGGGATGCCATTCCTGCCATGGAAGAGCGCAAAAACACATTGGGCATGACCACCGCATTCTCGTTCTGTGCACACTGTGCACTTCCCATCTTTCATGCATCTTGTTTCGTCCGGCGTCGTTCCTTTCTTTCGTCCGGTCGTCTGTCATTCATGCAAAACAAGGGGACCTCGCCCAAACTGCAGGACCTCTTTTTCCTACCATTTTGCCTTTTTGGGGGTCCGGTTCACCTCCACCAAGAAAATCCCATAATCAATCATTTGCAAACGAGTGAAAAACCAGCCTTCAATTGCTCCTTGAACTCTCCGATGGTTGTGGTGGGCATCACGGTGAAGACACCTTCCTTGCCGCTCATGAACTCCACCGTGACATGAAATCCCGCCATGGCGAACTCGGTTGGCGAACTTGCTGATTCGCCACAAACAAAGCAAAACAAGCTTCCTGAACATCAAGAACAATGAAGCTGCTTCCTCTTGTGGAGCAGGATGCTTCTTGAGAGCATATATTACAGAAGACCCAACAACAAGACGAAGCAAGTTACAAACATCGTAAACATGTCGTGCCAGGGAAGGACAATTGCCGAAAATGGCAGCAAAGGCTAATCCAAAGGTCCGACCAAAGGTTGATCCAAACGGCTGGGGAACCGCTATTCGGATCATCTCACACGCGCTGCCCAAGCTGTTGGTTCCTTCCTTTTACATTTCCTACCCTTCCTTGATTTCTTTTCTGCATGAGGTGGCACTGGGATTTCTTCCATCAACGCTAGAGCCATCTAGAGCATGCTTGTCCAGTCACTGCCTCTTCAACAGCACTGAGGGCGCACCTCCGGCGGCAAGGCCAGGCCCACTTTGCTCAAGAAGGCCGCATCCGCACGAAAGCCGCGCTGGACCAGGCACCTGGGGTCGAGACGAGGATGTTTGCCAAGTTCAAGTCTGATGATGATGATGATGATGGTGATGGTGATGGAGATGGTGATGCTGATGGTGAGGGTGATGGTGAGGGTGATGCTGATGATGGTGGTACGCAAAGGGTTCTCTCTAAAGCTCTCTAAGCTCCTTTAAATCTGCAATCTTTACCAAATCTTGGGACACTAGTAACTTAATGATTGTTCTTTGCCCTTCCCATCACAGGACATTTGGGTATGGTATGACTGGCCACGTCTGTCTGAGCATTCCCCTGCTACAACCTCTCGAGTCACGACTTCAAAGCATTTGTCTGCCGCAGTTGGAGCAACAACGGACCCCCAAAGATATGCCCCCAAACCATCAACTTCCGTGCCCCATCCGATCATCCACACAACCCACGACCCTGCCGAGGTAGATGGGCACATGTCCTCCAACTTTGGAACCCTCATGAACTCTCTATTTCACCCATCCGATCAGCGGTTTGTGCCTCCCCCACGCGGCCCGGACCGCGAAGATCGCGACCCACGGCCGAATGAACAAGACCGCCCCCGCCCGGATCGGCACAACGCACCGGTGGCACCGGGGGCGCGCCGGGGCTCCGGGCTCCACCATGAGCCGCGCCGGTGCCCAGGGGTCGGGCGTGGACGTCCTGCGGCTCGTTTAGCCGAGAAGGAGGACAGATTGAATGAAGAACATCAGTGATAACACTATTCAAAAGAAGATAGATCTTCATGGAGATCTAGAATCGAATTTCTTGGTGAGATTGATCTAACACAAAATCCTTCTCTGATTTCTACAAAGAACTTGCGTTACGCATTCTAGAGTTGTGTTTAGTTATCTGCCCCACCAACGGACAGTAGGGCCACACTCCTTTTTGGTCCAAATCGCTGGAAACCGACCGTTTTAGGGGGGCTAATTCTTTCGAACGCTTCGGTGGAAGGGGTCATGGCGAGTCAAACGACCGGTGGATCGTTTTAGCCCCACCCGAACGGTCCAAAAAGCCGTTGTGCTCTACTGAGGGGTCAACCAACAAGCGTCTCCTTGTGGGGGACCCTGCAGCTGAACAAGCTTGGTTCACCTAGGGGCATCGGTGTTCGTTTACAAATCCTCAGTGGTGGGCGATCCTTGGGGGATTCTGGAGGTCTCTTGAGTGAGCAACAACACCTGTTGCACCCGTTTCGGGCGTAACCTTGCTTCGTCGTACCCAGCCACCTCCGCAGCCAGGCTAGTGGTAGCAAGCCAGGGCGGAGCTCCAATGGCACCTTGGCCAGCGATTGGTGAGCTGCCAAATGTGCGAGGATGAACATGAATTGATCTGTAATACAATTTATGGACACAATTTATGGACACA